GTGCATGAAGTCCTCAACAAAACAAATGTGAAAATGGAAATCCAAACTAAACATGTGTCCTAAGACTTTCATTACTAATTGTATGAGCAGGAAACATCTACTGGATATTATTTCATTTGAATATTTCAAAGCTTTAAACTGAATCTATTCCTCCCTCCTGCCTTCACTTGTATACATGCTTCTAGAGGAAAAACTCTCCTGCATGCAGACAAGTAAAAGTTCTAGGATCTCAAAATGTCTCAGTGGTATTTGTCAACGCAGTACCAGCTCTGTGCCTCACAAAACACAAAAGTCCTAAGATAAAAACAGATTCAAAGAGAGAAGAATGAATTTCGGCTCTAGTCATAAGCAATTCAAATGCATTTTGCAGACATAGATTTATGGCTCTTCCCTTGCTCCAGTATATTTCAGGGCCAACTTTCATGTTCCATTTTCGATACTCCCAGATAGAAATTGAGATATGTCTGGCACTAGATCTGAGAGGTTATAAAGAAAGCATTTTTACAAAAGAAGCAAGATAAAAATCAGCCTTCTTCCCACTGTGGTATGGAGAGGAAGAAGGGTTCAGAGGGAAGAAAGATCTTGTTCCTCTACACACTAGACCTCCCAGAACAGCACTGGTTTCAAACCCTAAACCAGCAGCCTTGCTTATGGCCCAAGTCTGATTGAGAAAACTTGTTTTCTTCAGTAACAGAAGATGCCACAAAGTAGCTTTGTTTGTTTGCTTGTTTCTCTTTCTTACTGACAAGCTTGTAGATCAACACTGTGCATTAAAAAAAAAAGACTAGAGGGAAATGCCACCAATATGAAGGTGCCTGGATTCACAATTCAGAAAGGAATCTCAATTAGCCTTGCCAATCCCTCATCTCAGCCATGAGAAATTGAAAAGGAAGGCTTAAACCACAGGCATAATGCACTGAGACCAAGCTAAACATGGCCCTAAAAAGCCTTGTCAGTTCTATGCTGACCCCTACTCCCTTTTCTTCCATTTGGACCTTATGTGTCTAAAGAGTGAAATGTACAGTAAGACTGAATAGAGCAGAAGTATATCATAACCCTGTATTAAGGCCAAAGGAAATAAAAAACATACTCAGGTTCAGCATGTGCTCATTAAAAAAGCTCTCAACTGGATTTCATAAGAAATATTAATCTTGAGCTCTGAAGCCTCACTTTGGCTACCACACATGATTAGGATCAGTATCTTCTACACTGAAATTCCTTTGAGGGCCCTATTCATGTATACAGGAGACAATGTATAGGAGTAAGTTTATTTAAACAAATTATGCCTAAGGCTGCTTATAAAAGCAACCAAGAGTAGTCTTACTCAAAGATTAAAGATGTTTAAAAAGAACCAATAGGAAAATAGTCAGAAAGTCAATGTCTCTCTTCAAAATTACAAATGGTATGTTGAGGTAAACTTTTATTTAAATAGATTTGGTTATATCAGAATTACCCTGGTACCATGTTTAAACATGAATGATATATTTTAAATATATTTCTTCACTAAATACACTATTCAAGTTTTGTGATCTTACTCACTGGTATTAACTATGTACTTTCCAAAAAAATTACCCATTAAAACTGGCTCTTTGCCTTTAGTATTTGAATTTAGCCAATGACTCTAATCTTTTTAGCAGTTAGAGAATTTTGCTGAGTAACAACAATTAACACTTGTGTTGACAACATTCTACATATGTGTATCAAGCCTGAAAACACAACTCAATGTGATGTAAAAGACTGTTTGACACTGATCAAAATCACTGTTTCTCTACTGTTTGTAGTAAACATTTCCTTGGCTTGGAAAACCTGTAAACTAACCTACACTTTCAGACACAAAGAGCTTCAAAAACATTTCTGGTAAAATAATATACTAGTGGCAATGTGTTTAAAGTACTTGTTTCTAAAGCATCTGAAAGTAAGGCTCATCCTTGGCAACTAACTGGAAACTCCAGTAACAGAAGAAGTTTGGGTTCAGCTCATAGTCTAAAGGTTAGAGAATAAAAAGAGCCGACTTCCAAACCCTTCCTCTCCTTCTGCCTTTCAAGTTTAACATTTCTTTATCTTTGATCCTACAAAACATTAGAAACAGACTTCCAAACTGAACCTTCCACATAACAAATAGCTTTTACTTGCAAAAATCCTATTATCCTTTAGCAACTATTTATTCTAGAGTGAACAAACCTCTCCTGTTCCAAAGAGCTATGCTGCCTTCATACACAGAATCCATCTGACTGACCTAAGATGAACACGACATTCATTCCGTGAGCTTCGAGGTGTTTCAGGGAAGAGCAAAGACTCTGACCATTAAAGAATAAGTGAGTCTCAAGAAAACAGAGTATCATCCTTAGCTGTCTGTAGGTGCTACAACATAATCCATGACTTCCATGGATGGAAGGAAGGAAGGAGGGAGGGAGGGAGGGAGGGAGGGAGGGAGGGAGGGAGGGAGGGAGAGGCTAGACAAAGAAAGAAAGAAAAGGAGAAAGAGAAAAGAAAGGAAAGAAAATCTACTTCAACTATGGAGGTGGGAGCTGGACTAAAGAGAAATTTCTCTCCAGGGAACTTAAGTGACATAATCAAAACAAGTTAAAAATATAAGTACCAGACAGGCCATTATTCTTCAGCTGCACCAGCAGTGTTGAAAATCTTTCAAATAAATCTTTATTTCAGGTTGTTAATCATCCTGCAATCTTGGACCAAAAAAAAATAATTAAAGTATATTTTTTCTTTAAATTACCATACAACTATGTATTTAAACTCATCTTTTATAGAAACTATATAATCTTCCTTTCATTAAAATTTCCCTTGTTGATATCAGCAAACCAGGTCAGTTTCTGCTGGACTGCATACTTCTGTTTTATCACTTAATTTGACGTATTAAAGGTTTAGAAAAGAGCAAGACCTGGACTTCAGATATGCATAAAACAAATACTTCTTATATGTCTATGTGAACATTGGCACCATTAACAGATCCCTCCCCTTTTTCCTTGGGGCTGAGGGCTCTGTCAATAATCATTACTTATTAAACAGCCTGCCATCCCTTCTACAGAATGTAAGAAAAGACCATGGAGGGGTAGAAATAATTACCTTGGGCTTTTCTTAAAAGACATCCGGAATGGAACACAAGGAAACCAGTTGAAAAAGAACTTGAAATGCCTCCCCACCCCCAGCCCTGTGTGCATGCTGTCCCCAACCCCCACTCCCAAATACACAAGGTTGAGAAGTTTTTCTTATAAACTGTCAAAAGAAATGGTAAAAAAAAATCTGGGGTCTTCAGCATAGACACATGTATTTACAATCCACTGAATATGTTCACACATACATTTGCACATCCTTTATTCGTTCACGAACTCAGGCTAGATTTGTTGAGAGAAGCCTCTAAACACCTACTAAAAAAAATGTGTTCTCAAAAATAACTGCTTCAGTCAAAGGAGAGAGAAGCGGCAAGTGACTGATCTGACTGCCATCCTGGTTTGTGGCAGTCTCCCTCCTGTCCCTCTTCTCCCTGTCTCCCAACACAGCCTATTTTTCCCAAAGCGGAGTAAGGAAAGGCATAAGCAATTTCTCTCTTGGACCTTACCCACAAATACACTAACTCCTAAATTGAAAAAAAAAAGTCATCAAGTTGTCAAGGAATAACACCCATAATAAAACCACAGGTCAGGGAGATGGAAATTACCAGATGACTGAAAGCAACTCAGGTATTCCTACTGAAGAGTTAATGATGTGCGCTCTCCCTTTTCCCCAGATGTTATGGCTCAGAACAGACATACACACTTAAGACAGCATAACCGGGCAGTTTTTGGAGAACAGCCTTGCACAGAACTTAAACTGAGAGACCGGGGGTTTGTCCTAAATAACCTTCACAGGTTGTGCAAAATGTTCCCATATCCTAGTCAACAGTCACGTCAAGAAGCTTCTTAACATTCCCTTAGTATAAGAACAAGGTAAGGAGTAAGGATGGGAGGTCAATGCATCATCTAAAACATTTATAAAGATGTAGAGAAATATATACCTCCTATACAAATAGAAAGCTATCATGCTTGGGATAAACTGGCCAATACTGGCAGCAATTGAGCAGAGGTTGAAGATGCTACATTCCAAGTGTGACCTGTTTCAAAAGGGCTGTATATTCCCTCACCTATATTTTCCTGACAGAACGAGTGGAGATTAGGTTCACACCCCACCTTTGGGAAAGGAGGAACAAAAGCAAATGCTTGGCAAGCTGAAAAAACTCCTCCTTCATCAGGATCCAGAGGCAGCCGCTCTGCAAGGCTCTCTTCGTATTTCCCCCTAGTTCACTCACACTTGGTGGCCACAGACTCAATTTTCTACATCTTGGAATGGCCATGGGCAGGCGGCCATCAGTTTAGCCCTAGGCTTCAGACAGCCCCCTTTCCCTATCTCTCCCAACAGCTTCATATTAACCCTTGATGATCGCTGCCAGGGTCAGGGCTGCTGTATAAGTGTCTACAGCTTCTTTCTACCAACACTTTCATGAAATCATCATCTCACCGCCCCCCCCCCCCGGGACATAAAACTTCCCTTGGTGGTTTACCGTCGGTCAATTTGCATTTGCTTTTCTTTCTCTCCTTCCTACGGGCAGGGAAAGGGCTCAGTGCGTTTGGGAAGGCCCTCCCTCCCTTCCTCCTCTGCTCTCTTAAGGAGCCGGATCCCAAAGCTGGCCAGCAGGTCTGCAGTGAGGAGGCACTGCTCTCTCGTTAACCCTTTGAAGGGACTTAGGAAATGAGTTCTCATTTGGGACCCACTGAAGCAGGGCCCGTGGAGCTTGACCGTCTGCCCCCCATCCCACACATAAACCCAAACAGACAGGAACCTTCTTCCTCCTTTTTGGCCAGTTTTAACTATCTTTCTCACTATGTGCTCCAAACCTGGAACGGGGTGGGGGTGGGGGGGTGTTAGAAGCCAGGCAGCAAGGGGAAAAGACAGCAGGAAGAAAGGAAACTCAATGGTGAATCAGAGATCAGACAGCGTTTACTTACGAAATTTGGGGCTGGTGCTAGTTTCTGGCGTGGTGGTGGTAGAGGAGGAAGACGAGGTGGTGGTAGAAGAGGAGGAAGATGAGGAGGAGGAGGAGGCAGCGACAGCATCCTGAAAGGGAGACAGGGTCCAGGAAGGAGTAGAATCATGAAGGTAGGAGGAGGTAGCGAATGCCGCAGTGGGCCAGGAGGGCATTGCCTGGGTACTGGGGGTTCCTGGCAGCGGAGGCCGGGAGCCTGGCGTGCTGCTACTGAAGAAAGGGGCCGTCGTGGACAGGACCGTCGGGGGACCCGCAGTGCTTCGTGCCGTAGTGGAGCGCGGGCTGGCCCGAATGGGCACTCGGTGCCCCGGGAAGCGAGTGGGAGCCCGCGTGATGGTGGTCAGGCGGGTGCTAATCCGGTTGGGCGTCCTGGAAGAGGCGGCGCCGCCGGAGGAAGGGGTGGCTGGGGACGTTGTGGAAGTGGTCGTGGTAGTCGTCTCCATGGCCTTGGGGAAGGAGCTGGGCTTGGAGAGAAAAAAGGGGTCCTGGCCCATCCCCTTGGAGTCCACCAGGTCGGTGGGCACGTATTCCTTGACGGAGCCCACCACGATCCATTTGAGGAGCATTAGACTGAGCCCCAGGCCGATAAAGCCGATGAAAAGAGGCACCACGCACAGCCACGTCTGCTGCCGGTTCCACACGATGCAGTCGCTACAGCGTAACTCCCGGGGGGGCTCGGCCGCCCCTTCGCCGCCGCCGCCGCCGCCGCCGTCCGGGCCCCCGCCCGCCGCCGCTGCCGCCGCAGCCGCCGCGGTGCCCTCCTCGGCCGAGGCGGCGGCTGCCGAAGCGGCTCCAGGTGGCGAGGCAGCGGCCGCCCCTTCACTCATCCTAGGAGCCGGTCTTCACCTTCGCCCCCCCGAGGGCCGCGCCAGAGGCATGAGGCCGCGCCGGCCGGGCGCGGGCACGGGCTCCGGCGGCGGCGGGCTGGGGCTCAGGCAGCGGCCGCGGCGGCCGCATGCAAATCGGCTCCCAGCCCCCACGCCCCTCCCCCCGAGAGGCGGGCGGCGGGAGGGGAGGCGAGGAGCGGGGGAGGGGACGCGGACCGGGAGGGAGCGGCGCGGAGCGCGGACGAGGGGCGAGACGGCCGCGGCGCCGGGGACGGTTCAGGGCGCAGCGGGGCGCGTCTGCAGCCCGCCGAGCGGCCTCTCGCGCGCCGGGACGCCGCGTCCGCTGAAGCTGCTGCTGCCTCTGCCGCCAGCCGCTCGCATGTGCTCCCACCTCGCCGGCATCCTCAGGGCGCCGCGCCCTACCCGCTCCCCCGGGCGCCCGCCCACGCCACCGCCGGGCCTCCCGCCGCCTTCAGGGGCCGACCTGCCCCGCGGTGGACAGCCGGGCGTCGGAGAGCTGCATTCCGACACAGGGGTCGGTCTGGCGGCCTCAACCGCCGGACCCGGAGCGCTGCGAGTCCGGGCGGCGCGGTGCACCTGTTCTTCTGCCGGCCCGCAGCCAACCCTCGGCCGGCACTCGCCGGGAGAGACCAATCCGAGCGCAGCGCGGAGGGCGAGTGGCCGGGCTCGCCGTGCTCCCCGCCACCGCCGCCCGAGTCAAACTCCGGCGAGCTGCGCAGCCGCCGCCGCGAGCCCGGGACCCGAGCACTCGGGGCGCTCGGGGCTCCTGCGGCTCCCGGGGCTCCCGGGGCGGAGCACCCGGCGTGGAGGAAACGCAACAAACCGCAGTGGATTTGAAATCGTTCCCTAGCGCCGCAGCCGGGTCGCGCTTGGGGAGCTAAAGCGGGAGACCGCGTCAGAGATTCCGGGCGCCGCGTACCCGGACAAGGCGGCTTTAGGGGTGTCTGGCTGCAGGGTGGGTGCAGTGTGAGCCGAGCTGCCTTCGACGCACTGGGCTTCAGGCAGAGTAGTACCTCCCACCAACACCTAATGATAGTTTCTTAATGCGCACAAGATAAATAAACGATCCATCAAATAAACGCAGCCGTGGCCGAGGCTGCTGCAATGGGGTAAGAGGCTGACGCTGCTGGGCGCGGGAGCTGGGGGCGTGTGCGCATGGGAGCGTGTTTGCACTCCTCTGCCAGATGGCGGGTGCTTTTGGATCAAGAGAGCCACGTTGCCCTCTGCCCTCCGAGTTCCTGAAAGAGATGGTGTGTTATTGGACCTAGCAGATTTCCCCAAGGTGATTTATGATAACTTACCTTTTTAAAAAGTACTGTCTTTAAATGTATATGTATGCACAGGCACACATGGCACAAGAGAACTGATTATGAGAGGTAAAATTTATAACGATTTGGGATGGCATCCAAAATAAGGTTGGTGGCTTCTTCCCTAGGGTAGAGAGAAGCACCTGTATACCACCAACTCAGGTGCAGTATGGAAGCTGCCTTGGGGGGGCGGGGGGGAGGAAGGAGGGAGGGAGGGAGGGAGGGACTGGCCAGCAACAGCATAGTTTATGCTGATGGAGCAAAACTTCACTTTGCAATTCTCCTCGGATTTCCTGGTATAAAGTGGACACCGGAAAGAGGCTTTTATTTACAGGCTCCAAAAAATTAGAGGTTGAGGATGGCAGCCTCCTAATACTCCCCAGCACTACGCAATTTGCACAGACGATGGAATCAGAATTCTTTTGTCCTGTGATAGTCTCCACAAAGAAGTTTTTAAGGAATTCATTTTATTCACAGGTTGAAAACCAAACGGTACATTGAAATGACTGCAGAGAACAGAGGATGCATTGAAACTGGAAACCTCTGGGAGTTTGGTGCCTACAAAGTATTTTGCACAGACACAGTTAATAAAATGTTTTTGACGGCAGTAATGTGGCTGTCACCTTTCAGCTATAGCATTGAGACTTTTCCCAAAGGGAAGCTTTTGATTTTTAGTTAGATAGAACATGCCCTAATCCAGTAGTGCTCAATCATGATTCCAACAATTGTTGCAAGTGAACAAAATACCACAAACCCATGAATCTATATTCCTTCAGTTCACCCAATTCCCTGTACAGTTCTCTTAGGTAAAAATTGACCCAATCTCTTCTTACTGTGGGTTCTGGTCAGTCTTTTCTGTATAGCAAGTAAAAGCTTTCACAGAAAATGTGAAATTATATAGTAGGTGCTGCTGTCAGCTATATAAGACAGAAAATTACTTCTCCAAAACACTGCTAGTTCATTGTCCGCCCCCCCCCTTAGTCCTGTGGCCTCTTCCTTCTTCATTCCAGGATGAAATAAATCCAGTGTAAAAAAAAAAAAAAAGAGGTGTGCTGAAATGCTGTAGCCAGGCAAATGCAACTGTGTTCACCCAGCAGTCACCCTGCGTTGCCTCCATGCTCTCCAGTGCCTCCTGCACATACCTGTCCAAGTTCCCTCCACTTCTCATTTCCACTTGACTTTAACAACCTGTTAAAGAGCAGTCATGGTTCCCTGTTGAGTTCACTTTTCCCCAGATCCCAAGCCACTGCACTTGACTACCCATTAGCTGCTCTCACCATGAACATCATCACTAGAGAGAAAGAAAAAAAAATGAGCCTGTTGCATTGGGGAACAGGTTGTACCAGCCCATTCAGGAAATTGTGACTGGCACAACTATCATTAATTTGCAGTTTTATTATGAGGCTCCCTGGTAGCATATGGTAAGCACTATAATTATAATTGGGGGTAAGGGATGTCCAGAGCTGAGTGGTGGACACTGTTGCTGCTAGTGAGCAGTCCGCTAGTCAATCCCATGGTAAGGGGTCACAGTCTTGTGACTCAGAGCTCTCTGAAGCAGCTGCAGAAAGACCTTTATACTCAAACTTTGAAGACAGAGGTTCAAGTTAGAACTCTGCCCTTTAATAATCCCTCTGGGCCTCTGTTTTCACATCTATAATATGATACTATAATACCTACATTCTATACAAATATATGAATTATATAGCAAAATGGACTATTCACCTACAATACCTTTTAAACATTATCATCAGACAACTTCTTATAGAGATGGGTGCGGATTTTGCTAACAAATGGGCATGACATACCTTAGCCTCTCCAGAGCTTTATATTTGCCTGAACATAATCACCTTCTGGATGTCTCCTCTCCTGTGTGATCCACTAATAATCATTGCTTATAATTTGACCACAAACCAACATTTCTATTGAGGTACAGTTTTTCTCTTCAATGGTGTCAATATCCCCAGGCTGGGAGTTTCGGTGCCATCTCTGACTCCTTAGCCCAAGTTCAATTAGTAGTCATCATTAACAATATAATACAAGTGTCCTGAGTCCCCTCAATTGTAAGTTATTTGGCAAAGCTCCATCCCAAGAACCACAAGGCTGTCCCTGGATGGTGTAGCTCAGTGGATTGAGTGTGGTCCTGAAAACCAAGGGGTTGCAGGTTCAATTCCCAGTCAGGGCACATGCCTGGGTTGCAGACCAGGTTCCCAGTTGGGGACACGTGGGAAGCAACCACATATTGATATTTCTCTCCCTCCCTTTCTCCCTCCCTTCCTTTCTCTCTAAAAATAAATCTTAAAAAAAAGAATTCCTTAACTAAGATGATACAGAATAAAGATTAAGTTTAAACAAAAAAAGAAAACATTTCTTTAAAAAAAAGGCTGGAAGTCAGTGTGGTTGTCAAATACCTCTAATATATCATCCAGAAATAGTCCCAGCCCAACAGTCTTGTGGGTTCACCTGGAGCTCTAGACAAGGTACCATTTCATGGATAAGACCACTCCACCTATAGACAGTATACATAATTAGAAAGGTCTTGTGTCAAGCCAAAAATCTACCTTCTCATACTTTCATCCTTTCTTCTTAGCCCATTAGTAATATAAACCTTTTAATGAACAAGCTGCCAGGCATGGAGGATAGAACAGAAAACAAAACGAAGCTCCTAACCTTCATGAAATGTATGGTTTAGTAGGAGAGATGGATGATAAAAATAGATAAATTATGTAGTCTAAAGAAAAGAATTGCTGTTTTGGTCCACCAAGAATATGCCTTTGTGGTATAATTACACAGGACATCTCTTCTTCAATTCCAATATCCCTAATCTATTTATAGTCCCCACAGGCCATAAGGACTTTACATTTCTGGGAGGGCCAGGGAGCTCTTTTATTATTAGCCATAGGTTCCCTGGATAAATGTGGTTGCTACAGAAGCCAGTCTGTCCTGCAGAATCATAATATTCTTCATAATATCCTCCAGAATCTTGTGTGTAGGCAATATGATATCTCAAAACATTTCACAGAATAAACACTTTTTCAAAGTGTTGGTATGGCTAACCTTCTAAGGATTGCATATTTCTTATTCTCTCTTGGCTTGGTCCACTACTGTTATTATAATGATACATATACATTTAGATACATTTACAAAATGGTGTGGCTTTTTTGAAAAAGAGAAGCAGATTGTTTTCCTCATAGATCTCAACTAGTAACTGTATTTATCTCTTGTGGGTATGTGATTCTTTTTATATGGGACTTACCCAAAATGTACTCAACAAATCCCTAAGTAGATCTGTCTGGTCACAGCTTGACTTTAAGGATTTATGCATTATATGCCAATATCACAAATAAGACAACCACTAAAATTAAAAAATTCAACAAAGCAAAAGCACAAAGTGTAAAGGTGGAATATTCTAGTTGTAGCTGTATCCTAGTCAAAAAAGTGATTGTAACAATGCTCAGACTTAGAGCATTTAGAGTGCCACCTGTTTGCACTCTCATAGAGTCGGAAATGCTGGATGCTGGATGACATGATGTAAAGTTACAAGTTCTTAATGAGGCACTGAAATAAAACAGATGTGAAATTTCACGGGGAGTTGCCAGAATACCAAATTTTCCAAATAGGTTAATTAAGAACTGGGTAGATAGTGCAACCCCCTGGGGATTGAGGAAGGATATT